AAAGGAACCACAGGGTCCACTGCCAGACAGTGATTTTGAAAAGTATATTGCTTATAAGTATATTGTTTTATCATTTTAAACCAAAAAAAGAGTATTTTTGTAAAACGCTTTGCATGAATGTGTGCTTGTTATATTGTACTTGATTTTAAAAATGCCACTGCATTAGCTTCTTTGTATCTACTGCAATTACATCATGCATTTTGAAGTGTGGTTTAAGGGTCCTAATATGTTTTAGGGCCACTGAATGTAAATTGACATAGTGGCATCACAAGGACTTCCATTTCTCTCCCATATGTTAGTGACATGTTCTATTGAGCAATTGAGTCTTGTGTGAGATGAAGGATAAGTAACAGTGCAGGTGTTGGGTAGAGTCTTTTGTGTGGTAAAAGAATGGGGGAATTGTGTGTTTGTTACACACCTGAGTCCTCCTCACTGCACCTGCTATACACACCTGTCCTCACTCTCCCTCTCATCCCCCATGGGAACCAGTCAGAGGGATTATTTGAGATCTGACACCTACAGACATAGTGGCGATAGAACCTTCTGTTCTCAAGCAGCAATGGAGCAGAAAAGACTCCAAAAGTGGAGACGCAGCATCACGCAACTCCCATGAAACTCAGGCAGACATGGCCGAGTCCTTCGCTCTATTGGTTTCTCTACTGTTCTTTGTTTGTTTGGCAATTTCAGGTCTGAAAGTGACTTGAAAGTAATCAGAGATGTCTTACAGTAATTAGTCGTCTTTGTAGCTGTGGCGGGGGCTTTGAATGGTGATGGAGGCTTTGTGTGCGGGATGGTTGGCTCCTTTTGTAGCCCGCCTTGGTCTGCCCCGGAGAGGGAGGGAAAAACGAGAGCGAGGGGCTGGAGGCAGCTGTCACTTAACATGTGAATGTTTGGGAGCAGCCTGGGGGTCTTTAGAAAGCTTTTTATCCTCCTCGGTTTCATTAGAAGAGTTTGTGAGCCAAAAGAGGAGCTGGGGGAGGGGCTAACGCTGGGAGGGAAAGAGGGAGGTGAAGGGACTGCTCCTCTGTCTAAATGTCTGGCACCAGAGTTCACACAACAGACTGCCAACTTACGGACCTGCCTTAACTCTACCAAATCCACCGGACGGGGAATACCTACTATCCTGGACCTTGAAACACAGCATTCAGGACTTTTTCAGAAGCTGAACATCCCGTGGGTTGCCTCACCAAGGAATTCCTCCTCTATGGGACTGTGCACAACAAAGGCAAGAGAGAGAGAATACCCGCTGAAGGGAGGGAGCAGCCGGAGGGAGAGAGGGACATTGTTTGCTTGTGGCTGTGGGCGACGGAAAAGCATGGGTCATCTTGCATAAAGTGTGTGTGTTTAAACCAGGATTTGTGAGTAAGTGAAGTCATGTTTGAGCAAGTGAATGTGAAGGCTTCGCATGTTTATACGTCTGGAAAGGAAGGCCTCTCAAAGGATGCTGAGAGAAGACAGGTTTTTTGTTCTCCTGTTTGAATGATGACGGAGGAACTTGTGGAATTGTTCGGTTAACCGTTTGTCCTCCTCTATGCACAAGAGTAAGTATGCACCAACCGTCACAACCGCCACCTCTTTCTGGGCTCATTCAAACTTTCTCACTGAAACCAGCAGCTGCTTTGGATGCAGGGAGACAGTGATGTTATCAGAACCACTTGAATGTCACTGAAGGCGATTGTGGCACAAATTTGGTACGGGTAGAAACAGCTTGCGAGGATTTGGATGTAATTAGTTCACTTGCTGCTGTGTGTGACCGCATTCACTGTTCTGTGAGTATCTTTTTTTTTTTATTAGTACATTCACATGGTTTATTCATTGGACCACTACTGAAGTTAAATATATACCCTAAATATATAGTTAAATTTAATTGTATATTCATCCATTCAGTTTCTTTATTGGTATAAACGTTTTGAATAAACTTTTAGATTCTATTTCAACATGTTGACTACAGTATAACATCAGTTCAACTAAAATATAGTATATTAATTATGCCTTATAATGGAGTTTATTCATGTTATGCATTTATGCATACACTTAACACCAGACACTCTTGTGTTTCTAGTGGGTCTCCTCTTTAATTAGAGAAACCATTATCATGATCACTCCCTACACAGAAAGCATTGATTTATGACTATTAGGAAATCCATAAAAAGACATAAGTACATCCCAAGAGAGCCACCACTCTCACTGCTCCACGTACGAGTTAAATCACCAGCAGAACGTGGCATGACACCAGTGTACACCGTCTGTCTGCCATACTGAGGTCAGATTAGGATTTGTCATGGTGCTCTCTGACAGTACCCACACCCATTGCTATGACAGGCAGAGTGGAGCATCTCTGCCACCTTTATTTGATTGACATATCATTCATTAGAATATGACAGAAGAATCTTTGACTTTGAGTCAATTGTTGTAAGAGATGAGACTATATTAACCATGCTTTATGGATTGTCGATGCACAAAGCTGTCCATCACAGGGGTTAATCTAGCTCACTGGGGGGCCAGTCTTTGACATGCCTCATAAATCAAAATCAAGAGGCTACACAGGGTGGTCTTAAATGAGAGAATACATTAGAGTTGGTTTAAGAGGACGGCTGGTTCAAATAAGCCTTGATAAACATGCAAAGGTGGATCAATCTGTATAATTTATCTCAAGCTTTGATTACTTGAATTTGTGATTTGGAGGTTGGTGGATGTTAGTGTGCTACTACAACAAGGTTTCATGACTAGCTTAACCAGCAAGCCTTCAATTGTCAGACGGAATCACCAGAAATACCAACATCACCAGTTCAGTATGATAAACCAGCCTGGAATTCATGCTGCCCTAAACTGGTCTTTTGAGCAGGGGAATTAGCTAATTTAGCTGTTCAGATGCAGAATATGGCATCAACCTGTATTAAAATGTTCAACACTGAGACTTCAACTTCTACACAAATGTTGTCTAACAGCCACGGCAGGTGAGATAATGCTTGTAAAACTTTATATTCAAATGACTGTGGTGTTACTGCTCTTACATCACTGACTTTTTCGACTTTAATGCTTGTAACCTCAATCCCATCCTCCTTGTGTAATTCATCAAGGATTTAGACTGCGTGTAAGATGGATGGAATGAGTTCATATAATTAAACTTGATTTGAGGAAGAGCATTTGTCAATGGTGATATTGTTCAGATTGATTATATAGATTTTATGGCTTTATGTACTAATTTTATGGAAACCGAATGAAGAAAAATGTTTCTTACAAGCCATATGTTTAGTATTCACCAGTATCTCTGCCGTAGTGTTGCAAATGCATGACCAATGAGTTTCTTAAATAAAGCAATTTCATAGAGATCTTAGTAATTGTTTAGTTCAATCAATTTATAAGCTAGCGTTCAGAGCATCAGACTCATCATTACAGTATTTCCCGTCACTTGTTAGCAATGTCAATTCACACATTATACAAACTAATCCACCCTGCTAGAATGTGGGCTGATACTACGTCTTCTGCTCCAGTGATCTAGAATCACTGAGTCTGTCTGCTGTCTGGAGCCAGATGCCTCAGCACTCGCCATTAGCATGCAGTGAACCACAATGACCTGGACTGACCCAGATCACCTGTGCAATTAACATACACTCTTATCTGGATTCAACAGAGCTCTGTATTTCCTGCACAAACAAAACCATCAACCCAAAGGCCAACGTGTCATTGCATTCTATAAAATAAAAGCTTTGTGATTTTGCTAGGTATAAAGCAGAATAGGTTTTGTAAAATTTAGATTTTTTTTTTCAGATTTTGTCTGCTTTTACCCAAGAATAAAAAAATCTGAAATTTGACCTGTTTAATTGTTTCTCTTAGACAGGAGTGAGAGAATACAGAAATAGAGAGCAAATGGAGACTTGTCTTAGATTTTTCTCTTTCAAAACAGACCACAGTAATCTCACGTCTCCAGTAGTTTCAGAAGAGATCTCAACAAAGACACAAACTGTGCGCAGACATTATGAAATCAACAGTCAAGAGATTTCAATATGAACTGTAAATTTTAGAAGATGCATCTGCAACAAAGTAGATAAAGAAAGCAATCTTTCTTCACTAAACAGAAGCACATTCACTTACCACCTACAATCTTCAAGCAGATTCTAAGAGCACTGAAATAGCACTGTTGCACAGGTTTTTAAATTAATTGTGCTATTGCAATCCACACAAAGTAGCCTGTAAACTTTTATTTTACAAATATGTACATTTACTATTTATCAGGACAGTAATTTGGCCAATGATGAAGGCCTGTATGAATTTCAATCACACACATTCGTCTTTATAAAAATATCTCTGCATAAGTGTTTCTGCACATTAACTCGTTGTGTGTCTACGTGTTCATCGCTGTCCTGCTCCTCAGGCATGTGGTCTGTGTTTCCCAGTAAACCATGAACACGTGCACTAAAAAAACACTGTTCATTCTTTTGTGGCAACGAAATGAAGCAGCATTTCCATGCCTGTCATATTTGATCAGGAGTTAAATGGTTTCCCAGGGCCATCCCGCGGATAGTCTTGGCAGAGGACAGTGGCTGTTGCTGCCAGGAGGAGCTGTGGGTATCCTGGAGGAGACTGCCCTCATAAACAGGCTTGTCAGTTGCATTTGTATGGATAGTACTAGCAATTCTATGTTCATGTTGTAGTTCTCCCGCAGTAATCTGGCCCCTCTTGGTCAGGACAGAGCCTCAGTCAAGTGTTACTGTCTCTGCCATATAAATAATGATGGTGGTTTTTGTTGGCGTGACAGTGGTGAAAGACTCCTTTGTAGGACAGCAAGGAATCTAATTGAGATTTAAGCTTAGTGGGCTTTGTCAGAGCTGGATGAATCTCTTTGGAAGATTGCAGAGGAAACTAATACTGTTTCCTTGAAAAGATATAGGTGTTTTTGCTGTTTAAGAAAAGTATCTTCTCATGTTTACCTTTCTTGTGTTGTAGGTAGTTTAGGCAACTCCTGTATGTATGGCACAGGGACCCGATTAACCCGTGGATTCAAGAATCATGGGTAACCTCATTAGCAGACCTAGCTGTTTGGGACAAAAGTCCAAAAAGGTTAAGTCAGATGAGAGCGTCTTGAAAGAGTGCTACCAGCAACGGAGAGAATGGTCACTCCCAGAGCCTCCTAAAGAAGAGACAAGGAAAGAGGATGTGGAAGAGGTTCTTCGACAAACTCCAACACCGGACAAGCAGAGAAGTTCCCCAGCCCCTACTGTCACCACTACCAGCACTCTGGACAATGCCTGGCGAAGCTCTCCGTCCCCAGTAAAAACACCAAGAAATGGGTCTTTGCCCAGAAGGTGTAATATTCCAGAGTACAGAAGATCCCCCCTGAGTCAGTATGGATCCGTGGACAAGAGAGCCAGCCTGCAGAGAAGGGATTCTGGAAGTCCCTGGTCCTGGAAACCTCCGAACACTCGAGAGGTTACCGAAGTCACAGAAGTAACAGAGACAATTGTTACAGAGATTGTGGAGGTGACAGAGTATCCTCCTGCAGGCAAAGGAGGTGACCCTATTGTTACTAGAACTGTGAGAGTCCTTACTGGAGCTGCTGAGGAGCTTGCAGAGGTCATTCAATTTCATTTTAATTTATTTTCGATTTTAAGGTTCTTCTTTGAAGGCCTAACATATTTTCCTTTATTTTATCATCATTTACCATTTTTATTTAACTGATATTGGAGTCAATGTATCAACAATGCATCACCAATTTATTCAGTGCAATTAAATAAGTTGTTCTGATTCACAGCTGCTGAATGATGGTCAGTCAAGTTCAGACCAGGAATCAAGTCTAGATCAATGGAAGGTACATTTCAATGATCTTTTCTTAAATTGTACTTCATTAAAAAAAAGTTTTTTTTTAAGAATTAGCATATTGTCTGGTCTTATGTTAAGGATGGCAGAAGTGTTTTGGCTCTGAAAGATGAGCTCAGGGATCCATTGAAATTCCTGCAAAATCTGGAAATGCTGCTGACGTGGGTCTGCGAGATTGAGGAGCTGACAGCCAATCAAAAACCACCATCCTCAGAGTTTAAAGTGGTGAAAGCCCAACTGCAAGAACAGAAGGTATGTTACAAACTCAGTTGGTGCTATATAGACAAACAAGCAATAAACGAATACATTAATATTTAAATAAATTATTAATAAAAAAGTCTACCCTATTTTAAAAGCCTTGTCGTGTAATGTCTCATCCAATCCTTAAACTTTTCTTGAACTGAGAAGCATACTGGGTAAATTCATGCATATAATAAGCTTCGAATGCCTTTGTGTATGATATGGGAATGGGTGGAAAAAAAAAAAGCAATTCACCTTTTTGAGATATACATCTTTGTTAGCTTACTGAGTAAGGTGAAACATACCTGAATGCCCACAATGCTTCTCTGACACATGATACAAGCATTTGGCTTAAGTGCGACAAGAGAGAACAAGGTGCATTATAAAGCTTGTAGATTCTCAAAAGGAGCAATACCTCTATGAACCAAATGTGTGTTTGCTTCCTCATACAAAGCATCTTCAAAGACGCAAGGTGGGGGTGTTCTACAAAATTGTTTTAGGAAGTTAATTCTATAAGTTTCTTCAGTAGCCTTTAGACCTACAGAGATTAATAGATTTACGTAAGCCACTTAAAAGCAGTTGCAATAGTGGCCGTGTTAACAATAGTATAAGCATGAAATTTGCCAAAGGGCACATAAGAGGTGTTCATGACCACCTTACACCATAGGTCTTCAACCCTGCTCCTGAGGACCCACTGTCCAGCAGAGTTTAGCTAAAACCCTAATCAAACACACCAGAACCAGCTAATTAAGGTCTTCAAGATCACTTGAAAAATCACAGGTCGTGTTAGAGATAAAAGTTGTAGGAAAGTTGCAAGGGTTGACCCAGGAACAGGGTTGACCTAGGCCTTACACCATAAAATGACAAATGGACCACCATTTGCCAGTGTTTCTCAATTCTTGTCCTGGAGAACCACAGAACTGCATATTTAGGTGCTTTTCTAGATTGGATAATATTTTGGATCTGGCACTTCAGGTCTCTGAGCCTATTCCTTGCCCTTGGTGGGAGCATAATAAATTTCTTCAGCATAATAAGTTTCTTGTCCTGCAGCTCTTACAGCGCCTCCTGGAGGACAGGAGACCCAGTATGGAGACCATGATGCAGGAGGGTCCACACCTGGCAGAGGGGCTTCAGGGAAATGACAGTGAAAAGACCAAAGTGCAGCTGGCACAGCTCAAACTCAAGTGGGAGGCTCTACTTCAGGGCACCAACAGCAGGTCAGTCTGGTCCTCACTGCAGCTCATTCTGCTCCCAGATCGACCCACTTAGATGGGGCTGTCGGACTGACTTTTTTACAAGATGTTTTGGGCAGGTGAATCTGACATTAGTGATGGAACATGAGTTGTTTTGACAGACACAAGATTCTGGAGGACATTCTGCCAAGAGCTCAGCTATTCCAGGAGAGGACAGACAGACTTCAGCAATGGCTTATATCTGTGGATCAGGACTTAGCTGAGCTTCGCTCTGCAGAGAGAGGGATGCTCCATCTGCAAGAAACTGCAGGACAGGCCCAGGTTAACAAAACATTAGAAAATGTTTTGTTTTCCATTGATAAATTTGCATACTACAAGATTTCAGTGTGTAAGACATTTTTGCATTTCTCTATCACCTTTTAGGCAGTCATGGAAGAGATAAAAGCAAAGAGTGTCGACCTGGGGAAACTCCAACAATGTGCTCATGAGCTCATGGGAAAGATTTCAGGTGGTGTTTCCTGCCATTTTTTTTCTTTGAATACACTAAACCTTGCACAATACCTACAAGATCATGTTTCAAACATGTTTCGGTCTTTCACATGCTAATCTAAAGAGGAGGAAACCCAGCTGGTGCAGGAGCGGGTGGATAGTCTGCGTATCCGGTACTCAGTGATGAGTCTGGGTAGTGCTGATGTCCTGCAGAGGCTGGAACAGGCTTTGGAGGCATCTAGTCGATGTACCTCCAGTCAGGAAGACCTCCACCTGTGGCTTGGTCGAATCGAGAGAGAGCTGCTGGCTCCTGCTGCCCAGACTGAGACTGGGGATGCAGTCTTGTGTTCTTCTGAGAGGCAGAAGGTAAGAGACAGGTGGATCATTGTCATAATGCAGTCACATGCACAGAATATCATTCTGGACCACTGTGTTGTAGTGGTTTAAAGATAAGAGCTGGCAACCAGAAAACTGCTGCTTCCTAAGCAAGGCATGTAAAATCTAAAGTCACTTTGGATAAAAGCAGCTGCTAAATGCTTACTTGCCCATCACCCTGTTTGCATTTAATCAGCTGGAACAGGCTGTTGAGAAAGAGTTGGCTTGGTTTAGAGACACCTCACTGGCACTGGAGGAGCTCGGAGCCATTAATCTGGACCCAGACGTCATTGCATCCCAGCTCAATGAGCAGAAAGTGAGTTTTTGCACATTCACAAAGAATTTCTCTGCATATATACTAGAAATGCTGTAAAAATCTTCAAAATGATTCATATAATGTCTGTTGTTCTACAGATACTTGCTGTAGAGATTCTGCAGCACAAGTTTAACATTGAGAAAATGGTGAAGATTTTGGAACTCCTGCAGATGTACACTGAGGATGGGGATACACTGAGGCTCCAGGTAAGCTAATGTACATTCTTAATACCATTTGAAATATTTTGACATAAGAACCTAGACAGGAAACAACATAATACTAATGTCTTATTTTCTTCCAAAGTCTTCCATAGACACCTTACAGGAGCAGTGTCAGGTCACTACTGCCACTAATTCGCATGTCGTGCTTCAACTGGAGCATGCTCAGTCGCTCTTGTCTCAGTTCTCAGAGGGCTATGCTGAGGTGTTACCATGGTTACAGGAAACCAAAGTCCTTATTGGTCAGTTTACCCTGAACACCATCAGCTACGAGGCTTTCCGAGAACAACAGGACCTCTTACAGGTACTAAACAACCTGCTTCTTCAGAGCAAGGTATTAACAGCAGATGTACATGTTTGTGCTTGCATTTGCTATAGTACAACTTCAAGTTCAAACACATTGGACTCCACACTGGTTTGGCCATTTAACTAAATAAATCATTGTTGTGCAGTATACAGTATTTTCAAGAATATAATAGCCATCTGACTGTGTTCAGTATCTTAATGGACACAGTTCATAGGAAAATTCTTTAACTTTGTAATGCAATCATTAGACTTCTTTAGTAGCTTCAGATAAAGTAATACAAACATCCATGTTTGATCATGGTGCTCAATTACTTCCAAACAGGGCATCAGGGAGTCCATAGCAGAGCATAAGCCGCTGATAGCACGGCTGATCATGCTGGCCCAGCGTCTGTCAGACCTGAATGCAGCTCAGGGACAGGAGTTCTGCCAGAAAGCCAGGGACACTGAAGAGCAGCACCTGGCCATCAGAGACAGGGTTCGAGAAGCTGCTGGAGTACTGGAGGAGTCTCTGCCCCGCTATACACAGGTGACACACATGTAGATTTGATGCTGATTCCTAGTGCATGTGATTAAATATTTTATTTATTCTATAGAAATATAGAAAACAACTGTAGAAGTAGTTTGAATACTGTGAAAGCCAGATGTGTTTTGAAGGCCTCATAGCCTACATGACTGTGAGAGAATTCACACGGGAAAGAATGGGATTTTAGCTGAAGTTGCTTGCGGTTTGCATCCGCACTGATACTAAGTTGCTTTTTTGGGCCACTTGGCCTTCAACATGTTCTTTGGATAAAAATGATGAGGTAAATACTCCAAATAATCACTTTGTGATATGTTTTGAAATAGGCTAGTTGGCACTCTACCATCCTTACACAGAGAACCAACAATGAGTTGGCAGTGGCGGAAGAGTTAGGGAGTATTGGGAGGAGAACACCTGCAATAAGATCACTAAAAACTGTATAAAACTGTGAGCTGAGAGTGATATGGTCAGATGTTCTGCAGGCATCTCAGCTTTATTGTCTTCTTGCAATAAAGTATCATTTTGATGTCTGGAACTCTGCCTTCTGAGCATTATTTTGCAAGACAGACAAGACTTTTCTCCTCAAGCTAAATTAACTTCTTATGGTAGTTTGGTTTAACATGGTTTCTAGCTATAAATCAGAGTTTCTTTAACTAGAATAAGTCAAACCTTCACAGAGAGGACCTACTTCTGATGCCCCAAAACTCCATTGTATGAGAAGGGGAGAACCAGAGGCTGAGATTACTGCACCGGACACTTAGAGAAGGATTAAAAAATTAACCTTTTATTAAAAGCTTTTTAATAACTTTTATCAGTGTATACATTCCCAGGGATTCAAACCCATGAACTTGGTGCTGCCAACGCCATGCTCAACTGAGCTACAGGAACGCCACCTTACACTGATACAACCTGTTTTCAAAGAAGCCATATGTTTTGCTAAAGTGGTATAGAAAGACGTTATTGCCACATTTTAGCTGCATAAATGCTAGCTCACTCCTGACACTCTGTATGTCCATGTCAGCTGAATGAGAGGATGACTCTGATTGGAGAGCGACTGGAGCGTCTGTGTAGTCACATGCAGACCTCAATGGCTCTTCAAGGCCTCACCCCACGAATTCAGGAGCAGCTACAGGACAACAAGCACACATTGTCTGAGCTCTCTAAAATAGATCTGGACCTCAGCAGTGTGAGGACACAGGCTCAGGAGCTCCTGACCAACACAGGTGCTCTTGGGGACAGTTCCATTGGCACAGGTACCTCAAGCACTTAATGTATCACATGCATCTCCTGGCACATACAGCATTACATGACAAAACATCACATAAGCACTTCAAAAGTGTGGTCTGTCTGTGATGATCTTGGTAATTTCAGCTATTCAAGAGCGGGTTTGCAGTCTAACAAGCCGCTGGGATGAGGCTCAAAGGCAAGCTCAGGAGAGGGAGAAGTGGCTTCTCAATCTACTGGATCTGGCAGTCAGGTTCTGGAATGAAGTGAGTGACATGACAGCTGGACTGAATGATGCCCAGCTGGCTGTTCTGGACCTCAACTCCAGTCGATCAGATTCAGAAACCATCCGACAGAGCCTGGAGACCATGCAGGTAGGATACAAACGTGATACTGTTGTCATTGTTTCCCTGCTCTGTGCTGGTCCAGGCTGGCTGGTTTATTGCTGATCTAGCTGGGGAACAAGAAATGCTGAAAATGTTGGTGAAGCTGGTTGACCAGAGTAATCTTGCTAGTTTTGCTTTAGCAGCCTTTAGCAGTACATCCCATCGTGGGGACTAGCGTCCAAAACAGAACATATGATATGCTCATTGCCTGGTTTTAGTCTTTCAGTAAGGTTATTTAAGGATATTCCTGAAAGATTTGAATCAACTCTTTGCCTCATACCATCCAAACTCTATTATCCTGCCTTCTCAGACACTCAGGGAGGACATTGATTCTCTGCAAGGTGACCTGGACACACTGGGAATTCGGGGAATGGAACTCATGTCAGCTTGTGGTGACACAGACAAACCAGAGGTCACGAAAAGTTTGGATGAGGTTTGTATTTAAAATTTAAATGAGACTAAACCCCACAGAAACTGCTGTAGGCCTACATAATGCACTTAATTGTTAATATTTCACTATCCAGTGGTTTTTCTCCACAGCTTTACGGCACGTGGAACAATCTCAGTAAGATCTGGACAGAGTGCAACAGTAAGTTAGAAGAATGTTTACGAATGGCTCTTCATTATCAGGACAGCATGCAGGTGAGTTAGCCACAAGAAACAGATCTCATTTCCTTTCAAAACATTCCTAATGTAGGATGACATTCTCTTTTTCCTGGACATCGTGGCTGGGATTTCTATATTACTTAAAATGTCCAGGTTTTGGCTTTTTTCCCATATTGATGTGCTCTCTTCAGTCCTCATAAATTATATGCACAAGTATTTACATTGCTTTGACTGTTCTTTGTAGATCCGACCTTCTCACACACCACAATTGGTCTATTATGTACAATGCCATGCGTACTATAGGTCTAACACATTTTCAGTCTTTATCTTAAGTAAGTTCCTTACCTTAAGGGGCAGTCGTGACCTAATGGTTAGAGAGTTGGACTTGTAACCCAAAAGTCACAGGTTTGAGTCTTGGTATTTGTAAACACAAATTCCGAGTATGGGACACCGTACATGGCTACACGTCACATCACTGTCAAGTATGAAAGCAAATTCTGTACTTGCTGTAGAAAACATTGAAACACAGTCCCAAAGAGTGGTCTCTTGTCTCATCCATTGGTGGTAGGTCTCTGTCTACAGTTGTAGTATTTCAGTATTCATGCCTCCGTGTGGATGTAGTGATGAGTCTCTAACAGACCGGCCAGTTTCCTGCCAATTGGCAGGGCTTTTGGATGCCCTTCTGAGAGAGGCCAAAGCTAGCCATAGAGAATTTGGATTAAATTCAGTGAAATCTCTTGTTGGTTGCACTGACTTTATGAGACAATGGAAGAAACTGACTAAATGTGCATTTATAAATATTCATATGTACTCTAGGATGGGTCAAGAGAATATTACAAATGTTTTTAAAAGCAGGCTTAAAAATAAGACCTTCTCTTGAAGGGACTCTTTGAGTGGCTGAAGTCTGCAGAGCTGAAATCCACTGAGGAGTTCTCAGTGGGATCTGACCTGGGATCAGTTAAAGAGCAGCTGTGTGACCTGAAGGTTCGACTACACAAACAGCTTACCTTGGAAACTGAAAACTGAATTCCCACAATCGGATTTCATCAGAGCTTTTGTGGTCATGCCGTCTTCACCTCTCTTTCAGGAATTTAAGCGAGAGCTCTATCAGAAGAAGATTGCGATTGAGAGTCTAAACCATCGCTTTGTGTGTCGTCTCTCCCCGGGCACCGAGCGACCGGGTTCCATCTCTCCACTGTGCGACTTCCGTCGGCGATGGGACAACTTGGAGTCAGAGACTGTCAGCAGACAGGTAAAATCTCAGCTAAATGGAAAAAAATATATATTGTTTCATCATAATAGTACTTCAACGACAGCACTGTGTTTTTGAGCAGCACCAGCTGGAGTGTGCACTGCTGGGCTTGGGTCAGTTTCAGAACACTCTTGATGAGTTGCACACCTGGCTCTCCCACACGGCTGACCTACTGCAAGCCTTTCTGCCAATCAGCATCGACCTGCAAACCTGTGAGATCGAGCTAGCCAAGCACAAGGTACAAACTCAAACTCTAAGTTTGTCTGTGGCATGTTTTTATATAGACATTCTTGCGCCAATGTTGTGTCCTCACTTTTGCAGTGATTTATGCTCATTTCCAATGAAACACTAGTGTACTGCTTACTGAATGCTGCATAGTAACAAGGAATGTTCTCGGTTCGTTCTGGCAAGGTTCTCTCAATGTTATGAGCAACAGTTCTACAACAGTTCCAAGTACAAAAACTCATGGAATGTTTCATTTCTGAAACGTTTTAGTTGGATGTTCATCTAGCGTTTTTTTGTTTTGTTCCTACTTGTTTCAAAATATCCAGAGAACATTTAAAAAATAATATTCCCATAAGTTTTTTAAAACATAAATAAAATTTAAAAAACACATACCTAAACTGAACAACCACGTTACTAACTATTAATAAGCTGCAAATTAGGAGTTTATTGAGCCCCTAGCGTTTGTCGACGCAGCTCGAGTTCCTGAAGAGGAACTGGATGTTTTCATAATTTAATGAAACATTAACAGAACGTTGATCCTGGAACAACATCACTAATATTACCCTAACCCTATCCCTACCATATCGTATCCCTAAAATCTGAGGGAAATGATAGCTGAATAGCAAAGGTGCAGAAGCATGTAACTCTGCTTGTAAGCCTAAAACTGACATTTCCTGTAAACTTATCCCTCAATTCCGATTGGTTGATTAGAATATTGTTCCAGGATCAAAAAGGATGTTGATCCAGAAACACGTTGTACTTGGTGAAATCATGTTCACCCATATGGTCATAGAATAAAAAAATTAAGTTTCAGCTAGCCAGCAGTCGTCAATATAAAAGATTAAGCTATAAAAGCCAGCCACTGCTTACTGCATCCTACACAGTCTTTACACAGTCTGTGCTGTATACTGGCTACTGCTTTTAAACAAAAGTGCTTTGTTGTGTGCATTTAGGTTCTGTGGAATGATGTGATGTCGCATGTGCACACGGTAGACTCTCTGAACCAGGCCGGCAGAAACCTGATGGAGTCTGGGGCGGGAGACAGTTCACATGTCCTGCAGACTCGTCTGGAACAGCTGAACGAACGCTGGGAATTTGTGCGCTGTGAGACAGAGCGCAGACAGCTAGAGCTGGAAAATAACCTCAGTCAGGTGACCAGCAAATAAACCAGATCACAGAATTCAATAAAATAGAATGGTTTTAGTAAGTTTCAGTCCCATTGTGCTTATGTTTACATTCCCCTTTCCTCAAAAAATTACGTAATCCTAAACCGTGCTGAAAATCTTTTACCTAATTTGGTGTTCTTAGTCAAAAATAACCAGCATTTTAAAAATTGCTTGTAAATCTCTCTTTATGCCATGCTATCACCAAATCTTGGATTCAATGTTTTTGTCAACTTGTTTTCTTTCAGTTAGCACAGGTTCTGTATTTCTTTCTGGAACTGATTGATCGTAGAACTCATTGATCTGATCTGATTGAGCTTATGCATCTCAGTTTTTGAGTGTAAACTACCGTTCAATAGTTTTAGGTCTGTACAATTTTTGTATGTTTTTAAAGAAGTTAATTCTGCTCACCAAGGCTGAATTTATTTGATCCAAAATACAGCAAAAACAGTAATATTGTGAATTATTTTTACAATTTAAAATAGCTGTTTTCTATGTGAATCTCTGTTAAACTGTAATGTATTTCTGTGATGCGCAGCTGTATTTTCAGCATCATTCCTCCAGTCTTCAGTGTCACATGATCTTCAGAAATCAGTATAATATGCTGATTTGCCGCTCAAGAAACATTTCTGATTATTATCAAAGTTGAAAACAGTTGTGTACCATTTTTTCAGGATTCCTTGATGAAAAGAAAGTTCAAAAGAACAGCATTTATCAGTTTTTTTAGGAAAGAAATTAAAGAAATTAACACTTTTGTTCAGCAAGGATGCATTAAATCGATCAAAGGTGACAAAGACATTTATGATGTTACGAAAGCTTTCTATTACAGCTAAATGCTGATATACTGTGTGTATATATATATATATATATATATATATATATATATGCAAGATATAAGTTTAAGCTCAGGCAGAAGTTTTAGATAATTCAGTGCTGATTTGCGGTGTATTTTAAACTCAGCCCTTATAACTGGATTGCAGGTTCAGGACGTAGCCATGGAGATCCAGGATCTCCTGCAGTGGCTGGAGCACACAGACCTGAGGCTGTCGTCCAGTAAGACCGTGTGGGGAATGCCAGACTCTGCCAACGAGAGACTGAGCGCTCATTTGGTGATGAGGACTTTAATTCTGCATGCTGAACATTTGGAGTCTTAACCCTGCAAGCTGTGTTTATAAAACATTGTATTTTTATAAATAGATTTCTGTATCTTGCGTTGCAGGAGTTGTGTAATGAGATGGATTCTAAAATGCACACCTACATAAATGTTCGCAACGCCATCCACCGGATGCTGGAGGGACGTGAAGTGGCCCGGGGCTCCAGCACGGAGCACAGCTTATGCATGCTGGAGCAGAAATGGAGCGCTGTCTATGCTAAAATGCAAGAAAGAAAGGTGATGACGGTGTATTCGGCATAATTATAGCCACCTACAGTATATCTACAGGCTTACAACATAGTAGTGCATAAAGTTTTGAGAGTTTAATTTACTTGAATTTAAAAGCATTTTTACATATACATTATTATTTACTGTATACATAATTAAAAAGAAGAGTAACACTTCAGAATAACATCCTAGTTGTTAACGTCAGTTAATATATTAACTAATATAAACTACCAATTAGCAATACTTTTGTTATAGTATTTATTCATCTTTGTTAGTTATATTAATGTTAGTTAATAAAAACACTACTGTTTATTGTTAGTTCTTGCCAGCTCAGGTCCATTAAATAAAATTGACACATACTTTTGATTTATATAATATATGAGTAATTGAGATTAGCAATACTTTTGTTATAGTATTTATTCATCTTTGTTAGTTACATTAATGTTAGTTAATAAAAACACTACTGTTTATTGTTAGTTCTTGCCAGCTCAGGTCCATTAAATAAAATTGACACATACTTTTGATTTATATAATATATGAGTAATTGAGTGAAATTAAAATGACCTGAAATGAATAAATGCTTTAGAATTGTTTTTCTTTGTTAGTTCATCATAGCTAATGAAGTTAACTAATGTTAACAAATGGAACTTTATTACGAAGTGTAACCAAAGAAAGTAAAAATGTTATTTACTCCAGAAGTGTGGCTGTGATGATCTGTTGACATTAACACTTTCAAAGTAAATTTATTAAAATATTAATTTCTTCTGGCTAATCTTAAAATAAACAAAATTCTTTTCTACATCAATGTTTTAAAAATAATTTAATTCAGATAATTTTTATTTAGAGTAAATTCAACTATCTAAATTATTATTATCTAAATTATGTCATTAATTATTTTTTAATAATTATTCATTTAGATTTTCAGCTTTATGTTATGATATGCCATCGCTTGGAAACAGTATGCAATACACACACTGTGTGTGTGTGTGTGTGTGTGTGTGTGTGTGTGTGTGTGTGTGTGTGTGTGTGTGTGTGTGTGTGTGTGTTTGTTTGTTTTTGTTTTCCCCAATTTTTTTAAATATGTTGTTTATTTATTTATTTATTTATTTTAGTACATCAAGTTTGATAAAAATTTGAAATGTTGCCCAAGAAATTAATTAAATGATATGAAATAAATGATATGAAATGAATATGTAGTTTTTAGTTGTATTTCAGTTAAATTAGATTTTATTTCAAGTAACAAAAATGCTTTTCCGGTCTTAGTTTAGTCAACTATAATATCCCTGATTTTTTAGGCAAAGTTAACAGAGGGGCTTGGTCTTGCCAAGGAGTTTAACAGTAATGTCCAGGACCTGCTGACCAAAATGGCCAAGTGTGAGGAGACCATAAACACTCTGCCTGCACCCAGCTTCATCCTGGACACCGTCTGCGCTCAGCTTCAGGAGCACAGGGTATGTGCGTCTGCGTCTGTGTCTGCGCCTGCATCTGTGCATGTGCTGCTGTGAGTGTCTGTGTGATTCAGTCCTGTCGTCTGCAGGTGCTGGTAGGTGAGGTGCAGTCTTACGGAGAGAGGAAGACGAGCATAGAAACCGCTGCCACACGTCTGTCCGAGCTCAGCAGGAAGGAAGACTGCGATGTGGTGCAGAACCTGATCATGACCGTTCAGGACCGATTCAAGAAACTCCTCCAACACACCACAGACAGGGGGAAGACACTCGAGGATGCCAAAAGACATGCTAAACAGGTATCGACTCCTCATATGAACTACACCAACAGAAAGACCTGTTCCCAGGAAATCATTTGGCAAATTCGAAACGTCTGTGCTTTTCACTTCCACAGTTCAGTGAATCGTGGCACTTGCTGGTGGACTGGATGACGGAGGTTGAACAGACGCTGGACACACACAAAGAGATCTCTGTGTCACAGGAAGAGATCAAACAGCAGCTCACTGAACAAAAGGTACTTCACATCTCAGGACTCAGTAAGGATGACCCGCTGCTCTGAGGCCAGTGTGAGAGAGTTTCGGCTCAGGAGACGGGTTGGCCTTTAGGCCAGTGCTACATTGACACTGCGAATAGTTTCCGGCAAACTTTGGTTTTCTTTGATATATCTTACATTGTATTTGAAAAAAAAAAAAAGTCTTAGTACACTGAAAAAAGTTGATTGACATTGAATTAGGGATGCATCAATGTATCGGCCAATAATCGGTATTGACTGATAAAAGCGATTTTTAGTATATCGGCTATTGGTGATTGCTTAAAAACAGCTGATGATCAGGTCTGATTATATCCTGTCGATCAAAAGGGTGCGGAAAAACCTGTCAGACAGCAACTTGAATGGAGACAATGTTTCTTGTGTCGGATTTATGGCTGTCTAGGTTAAAGCAATAAAAACGAATTGACGCAGTGACATAAATGTGGGTTCCCGACTGAGAAATTTAGTATCAGTGCATCTCTACACTGAATTGAATTTGTTGACACATGAAATTTTGAAGTAGAAAGACTGAAATAGTATTTTATTGTAACATACTCCAATAATTGTATCTCTGAAAAGTAATTTTCTACAGTGTAGTTTTGGAAGTATCAAAAAAATCACTTAGCAATGTTTTGCATCACAAAGTGCAAAATGTTATACAATGTTTTGTAATATTTTGCCATCACAAAAGTGTGTTTATGGATTTAAGGAGTGTCTTTTTGTAAAGAAAAATTGGTGTTAAACATTTTTTCAATTAATGTTAAATTTTTGTTAAACAAAAAATAAGAAATAAAATGTTGGGAAAAAGAAATGTCAGAATTGTAAGATATAAATTCAGAATTGCGAGATGTAAACTTACAATTCCAAGAAAATTTTGTGAGATATAAACTTGCAAATGTGAAAAATAAATAAATAAATAAAATATATTTGGCAAAAAAACAAAACAAAACAAAACAGAACTGAATTGCGAGATATAAACTCACAAAAAAAGTCTGAATTGTTAAATATTAAACTCTGAACTACAAGAAACAAAGTCCAAATTATGAGAAGCTCTGAATTAGGAGGAAAAAAGTCTGAATTGTGAGCGGAAAAAGGTTTCCATAAAAAATAATGGATGGATAAATTCTTATTTCTGATGATGGCGCCCATTAAAAGTTGCTGTAAAAACCCTCAGTAAAGTAAAACTTGACAATGGAGTATATAAGAAACAGTATAAACTACACTGGAAATTTCGCCACCGAAGCAGTCAGTTCAGTCGGTTCATTTATAAGGTGAATTTGTATGTTTTCAGGAGTTCCAGAAGCTGCTCCGCTCGAAGCGGCCCATGTACGAGGCCTGTCTGAAGAGAGGCCGCTCGCTGCAGGAGAAAGCCCAGAGTCCTGAAGACACACAGCACCTGGAGAACATGGTGTCTGAGCTCAGAGACTCATGGGACACCATCAGCGGCAAATCCATCGAGAGGTGAGCCGACGGGAGCTCTGTAGTGTGCTGTGAGTCTGTTTCTGAGCTCTACACTCCGCTTTTCTGTCCCCAGGCAGCACAAGCTGGAAGAGGCTCTGCTGTTTTCAGGCAGATTCACTGACGCTCTGCAGGCTCTTAATGACTGGCTGTACAGAGCCGAGCCACAGCTGGCTGAAGACGTGCCTGTCTGTGGTGATAAAGACCTGGTCAGCAATCTGATAGACAAGCACAAGGTACAGCACGTCTCAGGATATACTGACTCTGTGCGTTTGAGCTGCTGTAGGTGAGCTCTGCTCCTCCTCTGATGCGCAGGTGTTCCAGCGGGAGCTCGGGAAGCGTGCCAGCTGTATCCGCACGCTGAAGCGCTCGGTCAGGGATCTGACGCGGAGCAGCACGGCCGATGCACACTGGCTGCAGGAGCAGATGGAGGAGCTGGAGGGCCGCTGGGAGGCCGTGTGTAAACTCTCTGTGTCCAGACAGACTCGACTAGAGGCTGCGCTGCAACAGGTACCAGCGCACGCCACTGATAATCACAAACACTTATATTACACTCATGCATTCGCCTCACACTTTATCCAAAGACATTCAAGGTACTGTAGTGTTGTTACTGTTAACTAAAATGTTTTTTTTAAAAATGTGCATTAATTGAAATAAAACAAATGTTAATGAAATTAATAGAATATAATAACTTATTTTATTGCAGACAGTTGCAAAGGTAAAATGTATATTTTTTTAGTTACTAAATTACGAATTACTTAAACTAAAACTGATATCAAAATAAAAAACATTAAAAAGAAAAAACTAATAAAATTGATTAAATACAGTAAAAATATAATAAAACGTTAACTGCAATCAAAATGAAAAAGCAAAATATGAAAACAAATTTAAAATATGAATAAATACGAAGTATAGTAATACTAAAGTAACACTGTACTGATGGTGATGAATGATGAGAAAACATATTTGAAAATGCCAACATATTGCTCACTACAAAAATAGAAAATAAAAAACTGAAACTTATTTCATTTCAGTGAGTCGCAAAGACAAAATTTCTTATTTTCTTTTAGTTTAAATTGAAGTAGGCCTACTGAAATGACTAAAACTGAAATAAAATGTATTAAAATACAAACTTATATATATATATAAACAGATAACTAGATACAGATTACTACACAGAGAAATATTACTAAAACTTTAACTACAGTTAAAATGAAAACGTAAAATATGAAAATAAAGTATGGTAATACTAAAATAACACGTCTTTTTTTCTTGATGGTGATATCATATCTCATATCTTACTTGTACACTACAGAAATAAAACAGAATATAAATAATATAAATAACTTAAACTTAAGGTAGTTGCAAAGGCAAAATTTATTTTAGTTTAAGTTGAAGTACTAAAAGTACTAAAACTGATATGTAAATACATTTAAAAAAGCAATAACTAATAAAAATGATTAAAACACACAAATGACTAAAACTTTAACTACAATTAAAATGAAAGTATAAAATATAAAAAAAATTTAAAAGAAAGTTTGGTAACACTAAAATATCACTGCACATGTTTTTTCCCCCCCGTTACTAATTCACATTGTACATATTATTTGATAATACCAACATATTGCACACTACAGAAATAAAATAGAATTAAAAAATATTTTATTTTCAGCTAGTTGTGACAAAATTTGTATACTTCTCTTATAGTTTAAGTTGAAGTACTAAAATTAACTGTAATCTAAAAAAATCTACAAAACAACTAAAACACAAAAAAATAAAATAAAATGAAAACGTAAAAAAAGAATTTCAAGAATTCAAATTATTAATAAATACAAAGTATAGTAATTCCAAAATAACACCGAACTACGTGTCTTTTTTCCTTGATGGTGATGAATGTTTGTGAGGTACATTCAGACATATTTGATAATCCCAACAAATTGGTTCTCAGGCGGAAGTGTTCGATGGAATGGTTCACTCGTTCCTGGATCATCTTTCGGATGTTGAGAGGGTCCTGAAGTACGGAGTGCTGCCTGAGGAAGAGGAGGCTCTTCTGGCATTTCATACCTGTCATCAGGTACGGCGGACACAGACTCATTTAATAGTCCAGTCCAGAGAGTTGTACAGTATCATATGATTTTCATATTAATGTCTTTGTGATCTGCAGGAGTCGATGAGCTCCTTGAACGCTCAGCAGACGGCGCTAGAAAACATTCACAAACTGGGCGAGAAGATTCTGTCCTCCTGCCATCCAGACTCTGTCATCACCATCAAATCATGGATCAGCATCACAAAGACTCGCTATGAAGAGGTGAGCCCAGTTAGACTATGATTATTAGATATTAATTAGTTGAAATCTAATGTAATCTAATCTGAAACAGTCGGGGTCTGGAAGTTACATTCACTTTCCAATAGAGAAGTGATGACTGAAGTGATGAAATATGGTTCTGTGAAACTAAAGTTAAAAATATTGTAATGTAAATCAATGAGATCTTTATAACAGTATAGCAGATACTTACATAAAATGATATAAATATCAGTCATCACTCTATCTGTATCACCAATAATGTGTCTTAGTAAGATGCAATGCAATCCAGTGATGATTGAGAGATGAAGAAATAAACGCTCCTCAAAAGATCCTGAGGATCAGATCTGAGACTCGCATTCGAACATTTTTAATAAAATGTATGTATAGGTAATCAAGTATACCTAAGTGTTCATCTTGAAATATTACTAACAATATCAAAGTTATTCTTACGCTTACTTTATAAAAATCAGTAAAGATTTGACAGCAAAAATAAAAAAAATTTAAATCTAAACTATCAATCAGACAACAGAAGTCATCTAGTAATATTGTGTCAGCATAGTTTTGATCGTGTTGATCATTTAGAGGCCTCATAAATGTATCAAATATATCACTGTAGGCTTTATAGGGTTTTGCAGTCAGTGATAAAAAATTTAAATGACTATGGAGAAAATGAATGTGATTTAAAAAACAAAAAAGTTTCGGTCACTGTTGTGTTGTGTTGAGTTGTGTTCTGTATATCCCTGACTGTGTGTAGAGGTACGAGTGTGTTCTATGTGTGATTTGATGGCTCAGGTCCAGACGTGGGCGAAGCAGCAGGCCGAGAGGATCCAGGCCACACTGTCTGCTCTCGAGGCAGAGAGAGAGGAGATCCAGCGATTACTGGACTGGATCTCCTCCGCTGAAGAGTCTCTCAATCTGAAGGAGCAGGAGCCGCTGCCTGAAGACCTAGAGCTCTCTGCAGATCTCATCACTCAGCACACGGTACTAACAGCCAATAACAATCTATTCACATTAAACTTCAAACATAGATGACAATCCTCTCATCATCTACTAACTTATGTCATTTCAAACCTGTATAACTTTCTTCCTTCTGCTGAAAAATAACTTTCTCGTATGTTCCACTGAAGAAATAAAGTGATACAGTTTTGGAATGACATACAGTAAATGTTAACAGAATTATCATTTTGGGGTGAAAGATCTGTTTAAGAAAAGCAGAAATATAAATATGATCAAAGTCAGTCTTTATCTTGAAAGTCCTCTTCCTAAATTTCACCTTCTTCGAGCTTCATGATTATTGCTTTGATTGCTCTGAGCTTTGATTTTTCTTTATTTTATCAAAATGATGTAATATGCCAACTTTTTTTTTTTGTTGTAATTATGCTGTTTTGTATCCTGTTTTGTCCAGTGTCTCAAAAAAAAAAAAAACCTAGTGAAGTAATATCAATCCACCATATTTCAAAATATCCACAAGTCATCTTTAAAATGCTTATGGTGAGAAGCACTGTAACAATCAGATGCATATGTACATTAGAGTTATTATAGTTAACAAAAAATAACACCAAAAAAAAAAACACTTGTTATTTATAAAATTAACATTAATGAAAATAAAATAATATTTTAAAAAATTTGTTTTATTTTAGCTAGTTTTGTTTAGTTTACCTTGATGTGCTAAAATAATTAAGGCTAAAACTGAAATAAATATGAATAAAATCTATATGAATATGAATAAAAAGAGGCAGATTTAAAAAAAACTTTATAAAAATGTCATTTCGTATGATGTGCATAGAGCAACAGTTAAAAAATCAGAGCAGATTTGCCTCTAAAAAGTTGAAAACAAAACCATGATGAAGGTTTAAGGTCAGGAAATGCTACTGTTTCTTCTGCAGGATTTCATGGATGAGATGAAAGGGAAGGTACCAGAAATGGAAAACGCCACAAAATCCTGTAAACACAAGCTGGCTCCCAAGCAGCAGGTTTCCCCCGGTCGCAAAGCACCAGCAAGTGAGTAAAGAATCAGTGTGATCCGCTGCTGTGATTATTGTGTGCATGTAATGTCTTTGGATTGTATTCATGCATAGAGAGGAGAGGCACAGCGAAGCCCCCGCCGTCCGCTCCTCTTCCACTGGAGAAACTGGACCCTCAGACAGCCGTGATGAGTCAGCTGGTGAGTCAATGGAGGACACTCTGGCTCCTGGCCCACGGCAGACAGAGCAGACTAGAGGAGCATCTGCAGAGGCTGAAAGAGGTGATCATGACCGCGCTCTAGCTTTGAGAAAAGAATACGTTTGTGTTTGAATCCATGTGGTTGTCTAAGAACCGTCTCTTTAACACATGCAGCTGGAGGAGTTTGCTAATTTTGACTTCAACATCTGGCGGAAAAGATACATGCAGTGGATAAGTCACCTCAAATCCCGGATACTGGATGTTTTTCGTAGCATTGATCGCGATCAGGATGGACGAATCACTCACAAGGAGTTCATCAGCAGCGTTCTGGCCTCTAGTGAGCATTAAAACTCTTGGTTGCTGAATTGTTTGGGTGGATACTCATATACAAAATAATATATGTACATGTAAGGAAATATATTGTCATATGAAGTAAAAACATTTATGAAAATACAATTTCATGTATATATATATATATATGTATATATATATATACATACATATAAAAGGCTCATAGAAATATGTATGTTTATGTACTGTACATGTAATACTTTTTCAGATTTTTTATATCCATCCTAAAACCAGTCAAGTAAATATGAAAAAATACGCACTTATTTACAAAAAAAATTTGCAAAAACATATATAAACAAACACATTTTTTGTGCATATATATATTGCTGACATATATGGTTGCTACATGTAATACTATATAAACATCATCATACAGAGATCATTAATATATGTGGGTCAAAGACGAAAAAGGGTTTAAGCATAAAAACAATAAGTGTAATACTGCTTTAAATTGTTGTTGTTTTTCTGTTTAATTTAACTGCAATTGTTTTTTTTTCCGAGCAAAAAATCAATATCATACATTTTCCCCTGATTTACAGAAGAGAGCCACTAAAATGTCATTCAGTGTAACAATTTTGTCAGGCATATTTACAACAAAAATCAATTTATGGACATATTAAAAAAATCTAATTTCACCCCAAATACTAATTAGTTGTAATTTTACATTTTTTAAA